TACTTTCAATTATATAATTTAAAATAAAAAAGTAAAAAAAAAAAAAATAATAATAAGGCAGCGGTTTTGGTGCAAGCCGTACAAGATTATTAATTGTATATTAGGACTAACTATTATAAATGCCACACAACAAACAAATCTGTATCGGATTCCGAGGAGGACCTGTGTTTTTAACCTCTCATTACGTTGGAGCTTGAGCATAAAATTATTGCTCACACACTAATGGGTGTCACGGGATGCAGCTTGTTTTGCGGTTGGTTCCCATTCACTTTTTCCTTTCTCTGGTTTTTTTTTTATAAAAAAGGGATTACAATTAGCCAAAGGAGTATTTCAACCCAACTCTAAGATTATAGATATTTTTTTTAATAGATTACAATTGATAAAAGAAAATTTTGAACTCCAATTTTAAAGTTGAGGATATATTTTACACTTAAATATATAATCATTAGATCATAAAACTCAAGTGTTTTGTACTTTCTCAGTTGAGAATCATTTTTAATATAAATCATATAAATCACATCCCATAATCGTATATTCGGGAATCGAGATAATATATATTTAATATTCAAATTAATTTAAAAAATTTAATATTCAAATTATATTTTTAATATATAATCTAATCTCTAAAATTTGAATCTCAATTATACATGAACATATAATTACACCACATAATTAAATCAATGCCTTCTCTAGTGGGGGTATCTTGTCCTTGTCAAAGTAGTCTCTTGGAAGTTGGGAACCATAAAAAGAATGGCCGAGAAAATCCCACAAATTCTCTAAAGATGGGAATATGGAGTACGTACACAAACATTGTGTCAAGGCATGTATCTATCAAGGCATAAGGACACACGCAATCATGATGACAAGTGAAATATCTGCACAATTACCACACTCTCACTATAAGCCTACAAATTTCATTCAGGTTAGTAGAACAGTCACCTGTAATTTCTCGGTTTATACCAATCCAGGATAGACAAGTGATATGATTTGTTTTAGGGACCTCACTGATGTTTTAAGAAAAGCATGCCCCTCCGTTGCTGGCAAGAGAGAGAAGTTAA